GTCATTGAGTTCAATACTCTACCAAGGCACCACGGGCTTTTTGCTTTGTCGGTTGAGATCGGGAATATGATGAATATATGTGCTTTGCCGAGGTTGTGGAGGAAAAATTAAGTTCCGCTTTGCCCAGGAGCTCACAACGTGAACCCGCCAGACCGTCAAATGGCTATTCCGATCTCCCTTCGCTTTGTCGGATCCATTTAATAATATCATCATAGTTACTATGTGACGGTCTGGCGGGTTCACGTAGTGAGCTCCCGGGCAGAGCGGAACTTAATTGTTCCTCCACTACATCGGCAAAGAACATATATTCAATCATTCTAAGATCTTTTAAACTTAAAAACACTCTGCTTAGTATTCGCGACGGCTTGACCTTCCTAATTAGAGGATCTATCAGCCTAGTGCTTTTTCTTAAATCCAAGTGGACCTCAAGCGAGAACTCTACTGCATTTGGGCTTGACGAACTATTCAGTAGGGAACCAACCCCTTTGCATCAATAAAGCAGTTTTCTTGTAGCCTTGATTTTACGTTTTTTGTTAATCTCCTCCTACTTTTATGTACCATCCAGGTTGATCGTAATTTGGCGGCTATCGCGACGTCAACGGTCGCCGCATTGGTTGGCAACGAACGGATGCTGGATGATATCTCCTACCTATTCCGGGAGTTAACGCGGATGAGAAAAGAACACAAGTCAGCGCCTGCCTCATGCACGGCAGGACCAGGTACGGTCCTCTATCACTCCCTGTTTACGCAGAAATTTCTTCCTCACCCTACTCTCCGTTTTGACGATTTTTTATGGCTTCATTTGGTTACTTTGTGTTGCGGGGGGGTCACCCAGATGCCTTCTTAGTTTGCCCAAGGATGCCGCAGAGTAGGGCTCACCCTCGACTTTCCCCCTGCAGTCGCAAAGCTCCTGAGGAGTGCACTGAAATTCGGAAAAACTGTTTTCATTAGGAAAGGTTGCGTACCTCCATTGGTGGGGTTTAAAAATATATAATCATGCAGCATTATTCTAGGATATTCTAGACCCGCGAGGATGGCAGTTATTGAATGCCAGAAAGAACAAAATTTGGCAGTCTACAACGACTAGGTTATAGGACGCCATCCTGTCTCCCTCTAAATAAATTATTCAAGTGTGGTTCTAATACTGATTATCTCAAGATGCGCCAGCCACGTCGGGCTGTGGGTTTTTAATGAGCTTCGTACTGACCGCCTGTAAAAAAGCCTACTCTGTAACAAATGAGCTTTTTTCTTTCAGTTCCAATCTCCAAATAAATATTGATGTATTTTATAGAAAGCCTGCGTAAAAATATGCTTTTTGGTGCAGGGTTTGTAGTAAATTACATCTTATTCGATGTTTAT